CCATAAGAATATATAAGCATTAAAGGAAACCAGAAAAATCAGGAAATGTAACTATATTAGCCCTAACAACAAAAACAGTTTTGGCCTCCTTATGCGGTAATGGCACAAAATGCGCTACACTTATCGGATGAGGGTGTAAGACTGACCATCTCGAAGCTAAAAGACAGGGCTACAACAATGTAGAAGGCCACTCAGTCCAAATCCTAGCACAACTAGGTCAAATATGCAGAATACCAAACCAGAACCGTAATTGCAGGTTTACAAATCACACTATGCTGTAATCAGTACAACTCAGTCTATACAGGTCCAAATGCAGAGATTCCAAAGGCATATGGTAGCTAGGACATTAAGTTATATTTCATCAGAAGACCTCAACAATCAAATCCAAAGAAATTCCAGTCAAAACAGCCAATTACAAACGCAGTTCGGCCATCCTGAAGGACCCAGAACAGCAACAGTAAAATCGACATTTCTCACTCTACACTACTCCAAATGACCTGAAATTTTGTAGGCACCTCTAAAATATCATTCCCTACAACTTTCATGTTTTAAGCCAAGGCCAATTCGGCCTCTAACCATATGATACAAAACCGGACAGAAAGGGGGTTATGAAACCCTAACTTTTCACATTTCAATCCAAACCCAAAATTGGTTGCAATTATCAATCATTCACACCTACTAGAGTCATTATAGGCCATTGCCAATCATCATACAAGGCCACAACATCATGATCATATGAAACCAGAAAAATCACCAATAAATTGTAAACTTCACCATTTCATCCAAAAACAAGAATTAAATCACAAAATTCAACACTTTAGCTTCCACTAAGCACAACTCAAGCTTCATTAAGTGTAGGGGCAAGTTCATATACCACTCACCTAGTAAACAAGAGAGGGAGAGTTGTAGGACACCTTAGCTTCTCCAAAAAACTTCACCAAATCACTCACTAGCACCAAATGGAGGGATTTTATGGAGTAGAAACAAGTTTAAGCACTTGATTTGGATGATTTGCACTAGATGGAGAGTTTTTCTTTGAAGAGTTTTTGTTTCTTCCTTGCTTGAGAGTGCCGACCAAGAGGGAGAAGAAAAGAGTGAATTTGGGTAATTTTTGAGATATTTAATCCAAGGGTAAGAAAGGTCAAAAAGGTGAATAGTTGTCTTAGGCTTCAACCACTCACAAAGTGACACGTGTCATTCATTAAATGCATTTCTATCCTTTTGTTTCCTCTCACATCAATCACATCTCATCCTCCACTTATCTCTTAACACCCGATAAATTTCACCCAGTATCCGAAACTTAACCTTATTGGCCGAATTTTTCCGAACTTTTCGCACTAGTGGGGCCCACGTCCATTATACGTTCTTAATTTCTCAAAATCTATTCGATACGAGAAAAATCATCTAAAACTATATCCGCTCCTTAAAAATATAAAAAAAAAAATTTCTAATCACAAAAATGCAGAAAACAAGCCATGAAAAATTCTAAAACCTAGAAAATGAAAATTACGGGTTCTCACAACTTCCACCAGGCGCACCCCTCCTTTTTGCATGAAAAGCCCTCACTTGTGCCCTAGCAATTTCTATTCTTTGGGCTTTCTCTAGAACCTCTGTAAAAGTATTAATTTGTGCCGCCGCCAAGGCCTCCTGTAGTTCCACATTGAGTCTTTGTACAAACCTCCTAACCCTCCTTTGCTCCGTAGCTATCAATTCGAGAGCAAACTTTGATAGTTTAGTGAACTGAGTCTCGTACTCAGATACACTTAGAGTTCCCTGATGAAGCTTAATAAACTCATCCTCCCTCTTTTCTTGGACTATCGGGGGAAGGTACTTCTCATTAAACTCTCGTACGAAATTCAACCAGGTCCATGCAATTCCCTCTCTCTCCCACTTAGCTCTAACTACATTCCACCAAGCCCTGGCTGGACCCTCAAACTGAAAAATAGCAAAATGCACATGTCTCTCCTCCGGGTAGTTTAAAGCAGCGAATATATTGATCATGGTTTCTAGCCATCTCTCCGCTCCCTCAGGGTCTGGCCCTCCCAGGAACTTAGGAGGGAAAAACTTTTGAAATCTCTAAGGACTCTATCTTACCCCATTTCAGGATTTCTAGGTTGATTCACAAGGGTTTGACCCTGCTGCTCTACCAGTCGAGCAAGTATATTCGTCATCTGTTGAATTGCCGTTGCCACCTGATCCCCCCTTCCGCTTGGGGTCCAGGTTGCGGCTCAACCGTTGCACCTCTTTCCTCTCTTAGTTCTTGCACCGGTTCCTGTACCTGTCTACCCCCACGGCCACGGCTAGAACCGCGCCCTCGGTTAGTTCCACGTCCTTGACTTCGCCTACCCTCCATACCTCTTTTGAACAATAGCCCATATCAATATAAGCACAATAAAGTTTGCTAAAAACATTTTCAAATCATAAATTGAAAAATAATAGAACACATTGAAAATAACATACTTTCTTTATATCCGTATCATAGTAATTCACATATCCTATGGGACATTAACCCTAGCTATTGTTCAAGCACTACACTTAATCAAAACATGACGAAATACAACCAAGTACGTACACGTGAATAATAAGGGTCCAAATCTCAATAATATCTTCGATATATCTCAAGTCCAGATTATTTGTATTCCCCGTGCCTTGGCTTTCGCCATCCAGACTTATCCTCCTATTACTCGGGATATCAACTTATCATAAAGGTAGCACTCTTTGGTACTCAGGTACAGGAATCCGCAAATATGATAATTCACCACTCGAGTTAGCTAGGCTCAAGAGGAAATCAACCACTTTTGAGATTCCTACCCAACATACATATCTAAGGTCCCCAACAATAGACATTTGTTTCACACTTAACAAGCCAATCCCCACAGTCCGAGAACCCTCTCCCGGCACGAGCTTGATAGGAGTTCTGATACCATCTGTGACGACCACATCTCCCCCTAGAGCATACCCTAGGGTTTAGCGAGTCGCCTGCTCAGCTCTCGCCAGAACTCACTCACTCGTATCTCGAGATAATAACTTACATCCAAAGAAACTAAATAACACAAAAAATTCAAACTTGATATATACATTAATGTTCAGATCCAACTACAAGGCTCATACACGCCTAAATACATTAACGAGTTTACAATCCAAGTACAAACAATCCTAGTCGGGTGCTAGCGTAAGTACAATATCAAAATTCAAAATAACTAGACTACGCTAGTCTGTACACGTCTCACGCCTCGCTCGTATCCCCTATAAAGAAAACAAAACTAACGGAGTGAGCTATAGCTCAGTGATGTTCCAAATAGCAAATTGATCATTATTTAAAAGTGCAAGTATTACGTAGCAAAGTAATGAGCATGAAAAGTTCATAAAAGTGAGCAATAACACTTCAAGTAGCAAATCTCAAAGTGAGCGAGTGTAAAGTTTTTCTTTTAAAACGAAACAATAACACGATAAGTACTAATCATTCCAAAGTATAAGAATACGGATGGCTCTGTGTAAAGTTTTTCTTTTAAAACGAAACAATAACACGACAAATACTAATCATTCCAAAGTATAAGGATACGGATGGCTCTCAGGAGCCAAATTCCCATTCCATCACCAGAACTTGATCAAGTAATAGTTGACACTCCGTCAACTTTCAAGTAAGTAACCAATCTAGTAGAGCACCACTTAAACCACTCTCCGTCCACCATTCAAACCCCTTACCGGGCCCGAACTCCAAGATAAACACTGGTGGTAATACTCGAGTATACCGATTAGTCGAGGAGATAACACTCCACTCGACAACACTAGATACCCATGGTTCGCTATCTAATCGACCAAACCCTTGCCGGCTCGACTCGATTAACTAGCCAGTGGGGTTTGGGTCCCCAAGAAGTCGATGAGATAACATCTCCAATCGACTGAATCAAAATAAAAGTACAGAGACGGGAATGAGAGGCACCTCCCACTCACATTGAGTGTGGTACATACTGCTGCTCAGCACTTATAAGTCAAATACAAGTATATCAAGTCAATTGCAACAATAAACAGGTAGATATCATATTAGGGCAAGTGCGATAAAGTACACTCTTGCCCGATCAAATAAATTACATATCATTAAATCACATTGGTCAAGTATTGAAAACAAGTGTCCAGTTCAATCAGGTATTTGGAAGCACCCACCAAAAGATGCGGTGCTTTTACGGGTTACGTTCGGGTATTACTCCGTGTGTGGAGTCCAAATCTGCGATAAAACATTGTTTAAGAGCTTTTGAAAGTAATTAAGGTTTGAAACTTAAACGTTTTGTTTAACAAGAATCACATAATTGAAACTGATTTGGAAAATATTTGAAAACTCATGCTCGCTCTTAAAACGGTGAAACTTGGTAGCAATAATACTTGGAAATACCATTTGAGTCGAAAAAATGAAAAAAAACGTATTTCTATTAGATGTAAATTTTATTTTTACAAGGGTACGAGTTTTGGCCGGATTCTAACTTATAAGCCTCTATTAAAGACGACTTGAATATCTTAGATGATTCAAATTAGTTTCATCCTCAACCCATACTCAAATAGCGAGTATATCTACCTAGCCCTCGAGTGCAAATTTGGGCAGCACGTTCTTTGAATTTACCTATTTTTCAGCCATTTATGGCTTCATATTTTTCTCAATCAGCCCCCAAAATCACACATAAATAATCTCATTACAATATCCGTTCAATAGGCTAAAAGTCATTCAATTACAAAACCAAGCTAGAAAAGTGACCGGAAATAAGGGGCCTGTTTGGAACCTAAGTTTTTTGGGAGTTTGTCTAAAACTTTACTGTAGTGCACTGTAGAAGTTTTTGAAAAATTTTTGTAGAAGCTTTGAGGTGAAAAATTTTTTTGTAAAAGTTTTTGTAAGGTGGAAAAACTTTTTTTCCTTTTCTTTTTTTTCTTTATTTTTCTCTTTCTCTTTCCTTTTCTTTTTCTTTCTTTCCTTTTTCTTTTCTTTCCTCCCCTCTGCTTCTTCTTCCCAGCAGCAACGCAGCAACAACACAACGCAGCAACGCAGCAGCAACCTCCCAGCAACCCAGCAGCCTGCTCCACCTCCAGCACCTCTGCCAAGGCCTCCTCCAGTCCCTCCTCCCAAGCCTCCACCTGCTCCACCTCCGGCAACACCACCAACCTCCACCAGCCCCTCCTCCTACTCTCCCGCCTGCTCCACCCCCAACTCCACTACCAGCCCCACCTCCTGCACCACCACCTGCTCCTCCACCAGCACCTCCTCCACCGCCACCCCCCTCTGCGCCTTCGCCCTCTGCCTCGCCACCCCCTCCCCCGCCACACCCCCTGCAAATGCTCCGCCTCCCTCTCCCTCTGCCCGCAACCCCCTTCCCCCACCCCTGCAAAAGCTCCCCCTCCCTCTCCCTCTGCCCGCAACCCTCTTCCCCCACCCCTGCAAAAGCTCCCCCGCCACCCCTCCCTCTCCCTCTCCCTCTGCCGCCACCTGAGTTTTGCACATGAGTTTTGCAGTAACAGAAATGATTTTACTGGCAGGATAAGCAGCAACAGGCGAGTGTTTTTTTTTTTTGTTGCAATTTTCCTTCTCCCCAAGTTGCGGGAGGGGGAAGGTAGCGGGGAAAGGCAGAGGGAAAGAGGGGAGGGGGGAGGGAGAAAGAAAAAAAAAAGAAAAAAGAGATCTTGGAAACCAACGTATCGGTCAAAGGGAGAGGGGAGGGAGAGAAAAAAAAAAGAGGAAGGCCGGCAAAAGTTGGCCGGAATAGTTACCGGCGCCGGAAACGGTGGTGGAGGTGGTGGCCGGTTGGGTGGGGAAGGAAAAAGAACAAAAGTTGAAGGGAAAGTTTTTTTTGTATTATTGTGAAATGTGTAAGTAAAAAACTTTGATAAGTTTTTTAGGGTTCCTGTAGCAAAAGTTGTTAAAAAACTAGTAGCTAAAAAACTTGGCCAAAAACTTCACTCCCAAACAAGCCCAAGGTTTAAGACAAAGAACAAAATGACAGGTTTGACGTCTTTTAGCGTATTGGTCAAAACCGAAGCTACGCCTATCATATTGCGTAAAATTTATGCCATTTCGAAGCTAAGACGAAGGGCTACAACTTTCATGAAGACAACTCAGCCCGGTTCATAGTTTATCCAGGTCGAATTTACAGATTACCAAACCAAAATTTCACTGTCAGGCTAGTTAACAGCACTAGGTTCAAATGACAATAACTCAGGCTACAAAAGTCCGATTGAGGCGTTTTTGGATGCTTTGGAAAGCTAAAACATAGGAATACAACTTTTGTGTTTTGGCCAAAAGATAATTTGATATGGATCAAGGTGAAAAAAATGAAGCCAGAATGATAAAATGTCAACTGTCTGCAAAACTCTACCTATGGCAGTCAAGGGTATTTTTGTCATTTCATGTGATACAGTGCTCGGATTGATATGAAATTTTACAGGCAGCTATAAATCACCATTTACTACAACTTTCATGTTTTAAGCTAAGCCCAATTCGACCTCCATCATAGCCGAACGAAACTGGTCAGAACAGGCCATCTTAAGGATTTAAAGCTGGAATTCAAAGCATTCAAGGTCTAACCTATTATTCATGTATAGAACCACTACTCCAACTCCTTATCTAAACTGATTCACATCATATTCTTTCTAAACAAGAAGAAATACAGCTAAACAATTCAAAATCCTAACTCACAAATCCACCATAATCATCAAAACTACTACTAAAACCATGAAATCTACCTAACAAGCCATAACTTTCACTTGTAAACCAATAAGTAGCACAACCATGAACTAATACCATCCTTACCTAGAATTGGAGAAGCACAACAGCCCCTAGGAAGCTTGAACCACCAAAACTCTCCACTCCAAGATGATAATCCACCCTCCTAAGCAACTTCTATGGATTATTTGGTGAATCTATCGGTTAGTTTGCAAGATTGAGCAATAAATCAAGTTTGAATGAAGTGGTTTCTTTCTATCTTTTTCCTCTCTAAGTCTTGGCCAAAATGAAGCTTAGAAGACAGAAATTGAGCTCCAAGAAAGGGATAAGAAGCTTAGACTTGAGTTGGTCAAAAATGGTTGGATGCTTGCCAAGTGTCATCACAAGATTACATCTCAAATTTTTTTCTTTTCCCTTGTTTTTTTAGTCAATAATTTCGGCCAGCAAGAGCTGATTAAGGGCTGATATTTTGGCTCTAATAGCAATGAGATTAAGTTAATGAAGTGGTGGTCAAGTGGTGTGTTCAATCGGTAGTGAACGATACCCGTCGGTTCAAGCCGATTTTCCCTAAATCGCGTGTACTAGGGTTTTAACTTATGATTCACTAACTCATTATTATCACATCCAATCACACACTTAATATCATCTAAAACTCACTCTTAATCACTAAATTTAATACACACTCCGTACCGAATAATTACACTTCCAAAAAATGTAAAAACCCTAATTTATGCTAACAAGAAAACAAACGGAAAAACCCTTGATTCTATGTTTGTTTGCACTTATTGTGGGGTGAATGAGTAGTAAGGTTATTAGAAAGGGATAGATTCCAAATAAAAAGAGATTTCAAGAAAAATATAGGGAATTTTACAAGTCCTCACAGCCGGTCCCAAGAGTAAATCACCACATTTGAGATTCCTACCCGACATACCTATTTAATTTCCCCAAGTATCAAGATAAAGATCTTATACCTATGAATTCGTGATTCACAACTTACACTCAAGAAGAGTATCTAATCATTTACACTTTTCACATAATCAGGACCATAATACCACTTGACCCAAGTTAACCCTGCGCAGAGACCACACGAAATGGCTTTAATACCATCTGTGATGACCCTACCTCTTCCTAGGGTGTACCCTAGGTTTTAGCGGATCGCCTGTCCAGCTCTCGCCAGGACTCACTCGCTCATGTCAAGAAAATAGAGTGCAACCTCAATAATGAAGGAAATAACAGGTCCCAAGTTTGGAACGTACAAATACATTCATTTCTATCTCAAACATCCATACAATCCCAAACATATCAAAAGATGTAAGTTCTCAATACATTCAACGCTAATCGAGCGACTAGAGCGAGTACAATCGCAAACGTTCAAAAACTAGACTATGCTAGCCCATACCAGTCTCACGCCTTCGCTTGTATCCCCTGTAAGGAAAACAAAATTAAAGGAATGAGCTAAAAGCCCAGTGAGGTTCCCAAACAAGTAATCAGGTATAGAAATCAGGGAAACCTTACATTTAACAATTTGCACATTTTGCACAATAATATCCAGTCATTCAAGAAATAAACACTCAACCATTGGAAGGATACGTGCTCACTTAGAGCCATTTATTCAAGTCATTCATTCATTCATTCACCAATCATTTTCCTTATCCCTCCGACATTAGAAAAATATTTGCAAGTGAAAACTCCTCCAGTTCTTGACATTCATTCATTGATTTCATTTCCCGCCACAGGCCAATTCACTGGCCAGTTCTCCAACAGACTTCGTGGTCATACTCGAGTATACCAAAACACTGTCCCAGGGTCACCAACCGCCCGACCGAGTCTGTAGACACCAAATTTTTGGTGTAATTTCATTTACTGTTTATTTTTAGTTTTTTATTTTTCGTGTTAGTTTTATTCGATTTTTAGTTTTTAGTTTATAGTTTTATTTTTATTTGTAAGTTTTTAGCATAGAATTTCTTGAAAAAAAAGGAAGAAAAAGGAAAAATCATAAAAAAGGAAAAAAGGGAAAAAAAAGAGAAAAATAGTAACTTTGTTTTGTTTATCTATTTTAGTCATTTCTACTTAATTTATCTTTTATTTTTAGGGAAAAGAAAAGAAAAAACAATGGAAAAGGAAAAAGAAAAATGTGAAAAAATTGAAAATGGCCACTTTATTTAGTTATTTTAAATTGTGTTCAATTCTGGTATTTTTGTTATTATTATTATTTACTTTTATATTTTTATCAATATTGTTTTAATTACTTCAAAAAAAAAAAAAAAAAAAAGGGATAGCCGCGGCAAGCTGCATTTGTAGCAGCTTGCAAGGAAAGTTTGGGACGGCTCCTTGGGCTGCAAATACAGAAGATGGCTGGGAGTTTTAGGGTTGTTTTTGGCCTCCATATAAATACAAAAAAAGAAGACAGCCGCAATGGGGAGCTCGGTGAGAGGAAAGAAAAAGCAAGAGGGATAGAGAGCTGGGGGGTTGGCAGCCGCAATGGGAAAAAAGAAAAAAAACAGACAGCGGCTAGAAAAGAGAGCGGGCAGCTGAGAGTTTGAGGGCACGAGAGCAAGGGTGGAGAAACAGCAAAAGAGAGGTTCTTTGGGGGAGATAAACAGAGAGGAACGGCTAGGGAGGAGGGATGAAAGATTGACGGCTGGAAAAATCTGAAAAGGCCGAGAGAAAGAGACGGCTAAGGAAGAAAAAACTGAAAACAAAACAGGAGCGGAGGTTCTAAGTTTTCTTGGGAAGCTATAAACCAGAGGAGGAGAGGTTGAGAAGAGATTGAGAGGGGTTGACAGCCGCAAGGGGAAGAAAGTTTGAGAGGTTGACGACGGCAAAACAAAAGGCCAAAGGGCAAAGGAAGTGGCGGAAGAGAAGACCAGAAATTTCCAGATTTTTGCGTGGTCTTTATCAGAATCAGCAGCAAGTCCTTTTCGATTTCCGTGGAGAGTGGTCGTCTTCACCGCACAGGCTCTTCATATTCGGTGTTAAGGTTTTCAAGGTAATCATTTCTTTCCGTTTTCTCGTACTTAAACATACTCAGATCGCTATGCTATGGTGTTAGTTTGGCTTCATGTTCTTCGTTTCTTTCATTGCCATATGTTGTTGGTCCAGATCTTTCCCCCATACCCCTGCATCTGAGTCCTGTGTTATTGTGGATCATGAGACCTTTGGGTGTATAGATTGCTCCATGTTCCTTTAGTTGGCAAAGAACCCATTCCATTTGTAAAAAACTTCGAGGACAAATCCGGTTATTGCTAGTTTTTTTTTCCTTCAATTCAGTTTTGTTCTCATTTGCGTGTTAGTATTCGATCCTGATGAAGTGTCTTGGAGGTTTTTCTTGGGTTTCATTTGTTGCTTTATGGTATCCCATGTATACATTTGCTGTCATTTTGAGACTCTGGGACAAAAACAAGTAGCTAAAAACTTGCGGCAGCCAAGATTTCTCTTTCTTTTCTTTGTTTGTTCAAGCTTTGTTTTACATCTTATGTTATCTTTGGTGTTCAGTTGATATTGATGTTTTGTTTGGCCGAGATTTAGCTATGTTGGGTTGGGAAAATTGCGTTTGAACGAACATAATAATTGCAAGCAAGCACGGCTGGAAGATTGCCGCGAGCTTCAGTCTTTCTTTTGCTGCATTTTTTTGGTTCATTGGATTTGCTTGAATCTTCAAGGCAGTTTATGCTTGGGTGACATTTAATAATGGGGGGTTGAATTCCTTACATTTGGTCTTTAGATGACAAGTTGGCAGAGCTTATTTGAGTTTTTCATGCCAATTCATTT